CTAATCTTTTTATCGGGCCCAGACAATGCCGGATTCAGCTGCTGCCTGAGCTTCTGACTGTCCATTGGCGGGCAGGTATTGTGCAGTAATTACCATGGTGACAATGGCCTCTCTCTCCGCCTGACCATCGGTGCTTCGGAAAACGGGAAGGTTGTCACTTTGTATTAGATGCCTCGAAAGGCATGGCTTACTTAGAAACACTACTAAAGAGACATAAAGCTAATCGTGTTAAGAGTTTGATTTAAAGGGCCACTATGTCAAATCCATTTGGAGCCCTGGCTCTCTTTATGGATGTTTTCTTGTAATTACAGTTGGATGTTGGGCGTCACCCCTGTACAGGCAGAGGGTAGCAGCCTTGGGCATTTTGCAGGCACTGTGGGCAGCTGGCAGACTTTCATACCCAGTGTCAGCAGAGTCCTGAGCTGAGCCCCAGGAACACTGAGGGATCCCCGGGACTGCTGTGAGACCCATATTTCTCTTCTGGGGAAAAAAATGGCATAGTCAATGCTTTTATATTAATATTAATTACATGTTATGTGATTGTATAGTAACTTATGCATGTGTGCTAATAATCAATTTTATGGAAATGCTTGTGCAAGTAGCTTGTACAGAGTAGGGCTCTGTGAATAGCAAATCTAAAATATAAGGTAAAACTAATTTTTTAATCATGCACAATTGAAAAAGCCCAATCTTTATCTGTTGATAATCACAGCTGCTGATTACCGAGGGTCTGCTTGGAGTAAGGAATTGCATTTGTTTTCACTGTTCTTCACAATCATCATACAAAAGAGTCATCATTATTGTCCCCATTTTATGGAGAGGACACTAAGACTCAAAGGTCTCGCTTGCATAGAGTCAAACTAGGCTGGAAAAGGCAAAGTCTTGATTTTAAGCCCTGTTCCCTCCCTCTGCTTCCCCCATTTTTTCTAACAACAACAACAACAAAGTCATAATCTACAAACCTATCTTATGAAACATGCTTTGACATATGGTTTTGGAACTGTGGCAATAACAGGAAAGAAAAATGCCTCATGGTGATGATTAATGGGTTTATTTATCCCTTCAGCAACATCAGGGACAAGCGATACCCTTAAAAGGCAGGGTCCCCTTGCTGCAGAATGCCCGACCCATGGCCCAAGAGGACAGACCCCTTAACTGCCTACAGAGCAGGAAAAACCCAGCAACATCAGCAATAGAAAGGAGGATACGTGGCTATTGGTTGATTTCTTTGCCCAAAAAGAATTTCCAGAACCCTGCACCTCACTTGATAAAGAGTCATTTATTTTTCATCATTGTTTTTGTGAGCTCTGGATCAAAACATCTGAAATTCCCTATTGTGGTATACTAAAAAGTAGAAATCACCTGTGGCCACATACCAGAGGGATAGGCATGATTTCCCCTGAGCGGTGGGTTTGCTGTGGCTTGACAGCTGGCAGGAAAACTAAAGGCTTGGTAGTGGGCCAGTCCCACTATGTTCCTCCCTGGGTCTGTGAACTAACCACCACTTAGCCTCAGTTTCTGCATCTGTAAAATGGAACCATCCCCATCTCCAACTCCCCCCCATGGCAACTCTTTCTCCTTTTAGCCCAAACCCCTTTACCCTTCCTGTAACTGCACTGTTCTCACGGTGAATGACGGGAATCCCACAGCCTGTGTTGACGGGATGAGTGGGAGGGGTCAACTGCGATCTAACCGACATGTCCTTTCAGACCTGAGCCCTTCCCTGCCCCAGCACTCTGCTGTAATGTCTGTGGTGCTTGTGCCATTTATTGATCCAGGCACACACCTGGCTTTCTTGGCTGAGCTCAGGTTCTAGAAGGGGACCATCCCTGGAGATGTAGAAGCCCAGGTATTTGATATGGAGCAGACCTTACAGGAAGGAGAGCATCACAAACTAGGGGTACAGGAGGGCTGGGACCCTGCACGGACAAAGCCATGTGTACACTCAGAATTCTGCAAACTAAATCCATCCCATCACACCCCCCCCCCATCCTTCCTTGGCTTGTCTCCTTGATTTTGGTTTGCTCGTCAAGTATATTCTCCGTTGCACTTCACACTCTTGGCTTCTTGGTATTCTCTTTCCTGATTTTTCTCTGTCTCTGAAATAATATTTGACATGTGGTGTCTGTGCCTCAAAGAGGCTCAGGGCTGTGGGTGGCTGGTCACGATGATGGGAGGTGCTGAGAGGGTGGGGGTGGTATCCTCAGGATGGCATGTGGGCCTGGGGCGTGAGGGGGACACCTCCTTAAAGTAGGTAGGGGTGGATGCAGAAATGCTAGGTTTTTTCTTTATGACTCAGGAGAGAATGCATGACTCCGGGTCTGGGTGAGTTATCAAGTATGGGGGAGAGGAGGGAACACGAGATTCCACCCAGTGAGCCAGTGTGGAAAGAGAAGGTCTCTGGCTTGACCTTCAGACCCAATAAACTATTCCACCACCACCACCACCACCCCCATCAACTCTTCTAAAAGCAGAAAATCAACTCAGATTTCTTAGGTTCATTTTTTTCCTCTTCTAAAAAATGTAGTCACTGACCAGTATGTCCACAGGACTCATTGCTTCCCTTTCTCGTGTTTGCGGTGACCAGAACTCACAGGCAATGTATCCATCTTTTGTTGTTTGTTTTTGGTTTTCCTTCTAAAGCTCTTCATTGTGCAGACAATTGGTGAAGCCATTTTTATAGGATATGTTTTTGTAGTGGGGTAACGGATCGAAGACAAAGTGGGAACTTGGTTAGTTCTTATGGATTTGAGAAATGCACTTTTAAAACCCCACTGGCCATTGCTCCTGCTTTATTATAACCTGGCTAGAGCCTGGAGCTGGGAGGCAGAAGGTACACAGGCTGCGGAGTCCACCAGGCTGATTCTAATCCAGCTTGGCCATTATTGGCTGCACACCTTGGACAGGAACCACCCTGCTTTGAGTTGTGTGTCGAAATAAGGCTCGTGGCCCTTCCTGGTGGCGCAGCAGGTTAAAGCACAGCACTAAGAAGCTAAAGCCACTTCCACATGAGTTCGATCCCCGCCTGCCCCGGAGGTGACCACATGGCGTGGCAGACCTCTCCTGACCCGCCCGCTGCTCCCCTCAGCAGTGTACTCAGTCTATCTGCCTGTTCTGCTCCCCGCTTTGTGTGTGGTGAATCCTCTCACCATCCCTGCACCTCTGGCCTGTACCCCAGTTCCATATGAATAAATAAATCTTAAAAAAGAAAGAAAAAGAAAGAAGGTACGTGATACCAGCCCTATTTCAACACAAAGATAATATTATATTGGGGTGGCCTGTGGTAGCTCTTTCATGTCCACATAGAGTACTCTAATGAGTTGTAGCAGAGTAACATGCCACCCCAAATTTAATTACTTCCGAAAATTGGTTACCTCTTATAGTTGAGTTGATGAAGTTCATAGAGGTTCTTACTTGGGGACCCTCATGCTGTATGGTCTAATGGCTGAACTCACTTGGAGGTTAGACTGGGTCCATTGTCCAAGTTGATATCTTCACTCACCATTTGGCACCTCAGCATGGATGCCTGGAACAGCTAGAGATAACTGGACACCTCTCTGGCCATGCAGCTGCTCTGCAGACCTAGCTAGTGAGAGTGTCCTCACATTATGGAGGTCTAGAGCATGCAGAGGGGAGGCTGATTTCTAGAGCAAACTTTCCAGGAACATTAAAGAGTCTATAGAGTTTCCTATGACTTGGCTTCTGAAGTCAGTTTCCCTTTTATCATGTCTCAGAAGTTATCCAGGGACAGCCCAGATTCATGTGGAGGAATATTGTCATGAATACCCAGGGGTATGGTTCATTTGGGGGACATTTTTAGAGACTGGCTACAATTTGGGACATGGTTGCACAGTAGAGTGCTCTCTCGTCAGTTATGTGTTACATGAATTCCCCTCTCTGGTTTTCTCTCCATGATGCACAGTGCACTTGGGAGTCACCCCACTGTTACTCTGGGCTTCGCATCCTGGGAAAGTTTTATTCTTTGAGCTGCAGTCACCACACTAGGGCTCTATGAGCAAAATTGAGTAGATTCACAATCCATCTTCATCCATTCACCAAGAAGGGTTTCACTTGTTGTTTTGGAGAAGCTATGAGGCAAGGAAAAATAGACTTGGAAAGCAATGAAGTGCAATAATTCAAGTCAAAGTAAGAAGCTGTGAAGTCCTTGATTCAGGCCGAGTTGATCCTAGAAGGTAGAAACTCTAGAGTTGAAGGGCATTCCAGAACTCCTTGAAGCTGTGCCAGCCACCTTTCTTGGTTCGGCGCCTCCGTTTTTTAAGCAAACAGCTGCTCAGACACTCCATATCCTTCTCTTCATTCATTCAACAGTTATACATGGAACAGCTGTTCTGGGCTAGGAAATGTGTTAGACACTTCGGGATATATGAAGATGAATCAGAGCAGAATCCAGCGCACACAGCCCCCACACAGAAAACCAGAGTGTGGTGTAGAACGGGGATGGGAGGAGGAATGCAGCCTCGAAGAATCACAGCTCTGTCAGCCCAGCACTCTGCTGGTGTAGGGATGACATCTCCTGACACCAGGGCTGCCACCCCTGCCCCTTCCTTGCCCTTGAGCCAGCCTCACTGCCTGGGCTGCACAGCACCAGCACCTCCTTCAGAAGGAAGGTACTTGCCCTGGACTTGGAGGGCAGGTAGGTTCCATCAGGAGCTGGCTCTAAAATGGTGTGTCTCCTAGCCTGGGCTTGCTGTCGGCGTCTGAACACATGTCTCTGACTGTCAAGGCACGGTGTAGGGAGTGGGGTGAACTCCCGCCTTTATCTTCCTGAGCAAGTACCCAAGGTCTCCTGGAGTGTCCCTCACGCTAACGACAAGGGTTCAGAATCACCCAGTTGTGGTCATTGCCTCATACCTCCCTCTGCAGCTGGGCAATTGTCAGACAACAGAAGTCTGTCTTGTGCAGCTGTGTATTCCAGGGTCTGGTGGCATGGACTTCGCCCGTCTCCTCAAGGTTACTCATGACCCTTTCACTTCTTGCAGAAATCACTGTATTTTCGACTCAGCGGCCCATGACGCTCATTCCTGCTGCTGTGTGTTGAGTGACCAATCCGATGGGTGGAGTGTGTTACAGGAACTGGCAGCAAGTGTCCAATGGGTGAGGAAGGTAAGATGGAGCAGCGCTCCCCAGTGATTCACATGTTGCTGTAGATGTGGTAGTGGGAGTTACATCTACGAGGTCCGTCCCTCAGACCTGTCTTGAATTGAAGCCATCACCAGGACTGAAGTCGGATCTGAGAGGGAGGGAAAGAGCTGCTGTCCTGGGCTTTGAGGACTGTGATTATTCATTGCTGTAGCTGGTTCTCTTCATTGGACACCTGTTAGATGATAGTACAGGTTTGATAACTTGTTTATCTGTTTGCATATTTGGACTTTTTTGGATTCTTTTTGTTGACTACAGAAAATCCAGAGATGAAAGAAGGAACTGAGGGGAACGGTAAATCTTTAGCAAGGTTTCTGTTGAACCGACTGACAAAAATGACGACCGAGTGGCCTTCCCCTCTTTTCTTCTCTTGAAGAGATTTTTTTTCTTTAAATGAATAATCGGACTCATATCTTATAAGGAAGAATGAGTACAAGGAGGCTGAACCTTTTGGACCTCACACACATAGAGCCCTAGATCATAAGCCAATAGACTGATTTCTCCTCCCAGTTCCAGCTCTGCTACTTGCTGCCTGTGCCCTGAGGTTAATGAGCTGTTCACTGGCCCTAATGTGGTTGGAACTAGGGAGTTGTACAGTTTTTAAGTTATAAGACTCTAATAATCCATTTACCTCCCTGTGTTCAGTGATACTGTTAAGGGGAAGGATGTCCTAAAAGAACTCTGCAGAGCTTGGTGGACTCCACCCCCTACTCCAGCTTTCTGGATTCCACCCCTACTCCAGTGATTGGAAACTACAACTCCCAGCAGTACCAGGGAGAGAACTGTGAGGACCCAAGGGCGGAGCTAAGCAGTCATGCTGGGACTTTGGGGGATAAATAGAGAGCGGTTTTCCAACTGACACTCTGGAGAGGTAACAGTTCTCTCTCTCTGGAGCAACTGCTCTCAGATGGTTTGACTCAGGGCTAGCAGTGTTAGTTTGGGACTAGAGCTCCAAGTTAGCAGAGCTGGTAAGATATTCACTTACTTTGCATCCCTCTCTCTTTCCCCAGGTTGTTTCCTTTTCCTTTCCCCCTTTTTTAAATAACCCATTACCCTTTGAGTGTGTGTCTGCAGAAAATTACATTTTGAGCACTCAGGTGAGGCCCCACAGACAGGCAGCCCAAGTTCACTCTGGGCTACCTTGTAACAATACCTGGAGCTATTCTTTCAGGACATCCAAATAGCTAAATAGAAATTTAAGAGTTAATTCTATCAGCATACCCTCCCATACTTTAGGCTTCTAGAACTCTCTATCCAAGTATCCATGACTTAGTTCCATGTGGATGTCTAGCAGATACCAGTCATGTTTTTCTTATTTTATGTTTTTTAAAATATTTATTTAATTATGAATATAAGAACTGGGGTACAGGCCAGAGGCATGGGGGGGATGTGACCAGAGATAGAGTGGGGAGCAGAACAGCAGATATACTGAAATACACTGCTGAGGGGAGCAGCAGGTGAGACAGAAGGGGTCTGCTGCACCATGTGGGTCACCTCCCTGACCAGGGATCGAATTTGTGGTGCAGTGACCACCAGAGAGAGCCAAAATTTTCTTCTTTAGACCTCTTCTTTGTCCATGTGCCACTTGGTAGCAAGAACACCAAAATTCACCCAGACCAAAAACATGGCCGCCACAGCCTCTCAATCCATTACCTCCAATGGCGATTTCATACTGATGTCCTATTGATTCTTAATTGATCCCTCTTGATTCTACCCTCTTGATTATCCTTAAAATATTTTTATTTCTCTGTCTCCCCACTGCTACCATCTAAAGGCAAGTCAAATCCTGTCTCCCAGGTTACTGCAGTAACCACAAGCAGCCCTTTCTGCCTGAGGACAGCTAGTCAACATGACCAGCATGACCATGTTCCGTCCATGACCAACAATGTCCCTCTGTTCCAATATGTTATGTTAGCTCTGCACTGAATCCTTTCCATGACAAGGATCTGAGCCCTGTGAAAGATTCAGGATCCCTGAGTGATGGAGACACCACTTTGAGGCCCATCTCAGCCCCTCTCTCCACCTCCAGCTTCATTATACACATACCCACTCTCTCATGTACCATAGGGCACAACCGTCTCTCTAGAGCCCAACATCTCTGCACAAGCTAAGGTTTATTCATTCTATATCTTAGTTTCGACCTCATAGTCTCTAAGCATTTCTTTCTGATCCCCTACGGCAGAGCTGATGTGTGTTCTAGACAACATTTTAATAGCCAGAGATTGCATCATTTACTTGGATTTACACATAGGTTATACTTGTCTCTTTCAGGCAGGCTATATTTGGGATCACTATGTTCCCAGTTATAAGCACAGTATCTGGTCCGAAAATAGGTTCAATTTAAACATGTATTACAAATAGGATTAGAACACATTTTGAACAGGTGAGGAACAAGGATTTATGTTACCAGAGAGAAAAGTCAGAATAATGGCAGCTAACAGCTACTGAATACTTACTCTGTGCTAGGCATACAGGGTCTTAAAAGCTATCATTTCCTCTCTCAATTCTTTCAAAAACCTAATGTGGTCAGTACCGTTAACAGTCAAGATTTTTTTTAATCAGAAAATACAAGAAGATAAATAATTTGCCTGTAGCATCATCCCAGGATTTTTATGCTTAGAGATGTTCACCTTTGAGAAGTCTGATTTTAGCTTGAGCTTCTGTTTTTTACAGCTCCTCATTTGCCTTCCTCCAAATAAATCTATTACATTATGAACAAAATCCTCCCCCCGCCAAAAAAAAAAAACCAACAAACACTCCAAAACCCCTAACATCCCTCCCTATAAGACCAGAAACTTCCTTTGCAGTCCACACAAGCTTTTGCTACTTAGATGGTTTATCCTGTAACTGGGACCCATACATATTTAGTAATTCTTCAGGTTTATTGTACTCATATTTTAACATGGGAGCCTAATTATAATTTAATTCATCCACGCTAAGGGTCAGTGTTTGTTATGAAAATAAACCAAGGAACAAATTGTCTTACGTGGAAGCAGGGAGGCACTTCCCAGAAAATGCACCAATATGACTTGGAAATTGAGTGACCAACTTCTGCCTTAACATATGCTGCACTCATTTGCTCTGAAGACAAAAATTATCCCTCCTGTGGAAACCTCTATGAATGATGATCATCTCATTTCTGCCAAGCCAAATGGGTCTCTTCATTTCATGGGTCCTTTGAATTCTTCAATAGGACATGCAACTGACATTTCCTATTTGTCTAGATAATAGGGTCAGTTAGAATGAGGTATCAGTGAAGCAGAGTCAAACTTAAATAGAAAGTACTTGAATCTAATTTCTAGGAAATTGAGTATAATTTTTTTTCCACTTAGAAATTAAGAACAGCTTATTTTTATAGAGTTCTGCATAGCTTTTATTCCAAGGAGAGAGGTAAACTAATCTAATGCTTGCAGCACCCTTAGAAAGCCCATAGCATGGTGCTTATGGAATGGCCTCCCCTTATATTAAACTATTTTCTTGTGGCCCTCCCTGGTGGCGCGGCGGGTTAAAGCACAGCACTAAGAAGCTAACGCCACTTCTGCATGAGTTCGATCCCCGCCTGCCCTCGGCAGACCTCTCCTGACCCACCCGCTACTCCCCTCAGCAGTGTACTTCTCAGTCGGCCTGTTCTGCTCCCCACTCTGTCTCTGGTGAATCCTGTCACCCTCCACTTCTCTGGCCTGTACCCCAGTTCTATATGAATAAATAAATCTTTAAAAAAAATATTTTCTTGTGTGTAGAACTGAGGTGTAGGCCAGAGGTGTATGTGTTTGGAGAGAGGGGTGAGAGTACTCACCAGAGACAGATTGGATTGGGGGACAGAACAAGCAGATCTACTGAAAAACACTGCTGAGGGGAGCAGCGGGTGGGAGAGGTCTCCTGCGCCGTGTGGGTCAGCTCCTGGGCCGGGGATGGAACTCAGTGATAATGCTGAGACTAACTCCTAGACCACCTGGGAGTTGCTAAAATTGCCTTTTGATCTTTTGGAACAAGAATCTTGTTTTACAGAGAGGAATTCTGTACCTGGAGGGAGGAAAGGACTTATTCATGAGCCTCTCTGTGATTTTAGAGGAACAAAATAAATCTCACCAACTACTTTGGCTCAAGGCTCATATTCTTGATCCCCAACCAGTGCCCGGTGCCAACATTTCTTAGGCAGACACCTATGAAGTGCCATGCACACTGGCAGAGAAGAAAGGGCACTTTCCCTTTCTTCAAGGACTTTACAGTCAAGTAGCTAGTTCTATATAAGGCCCTCAGAGTCTGAGTGGGAAGGAAAGAGAGGTGGGGGTTGGTAAGAGAGATAAAACTTTCAACAAATGCTAGTGAAGCAGTTCAGTGGGTCTCACCGGGTCGGCTGACCTCAGGGGAATGCATTTGAACTTCCTTTTCTACATACCTGCTTTAGGCACCTCCTCAGAGCTGGGGAGGAATTACCTGGATAGCTACAGAATCTGGCTTCTCAGTCTGCCACCTCCCTGGGCTCTTAAGAGGATGCTGAAACACAGATCAGAATGTCTGAAAGTGAAAGTATTTGCTCTGATGTTCATAGAAAGTATAGACATACTGAGACCCTCCTGTGTGATAATCAGCAGGGGCACCTGGTCACGGGTCACCCAATTATCTATCATTTGCATAAATCAATCCCATAATGCCATGGAGAGGGGGCTCAGCTCACCTGTGCTAGAGTATCCACCAGGCTCCTCTTTGTCCCTGACAGTTTGAAATGTTGGCAGTCTGCCTCCAACCCTGTGTGCCTGCTGGGTCTGTCTGTGAATACACATTTCCTATTTTGGGATGTAGGCCACTGTGGAGAAAGAGGCCAAGGATCTGTCTGTAGCTAGTGTCACTAAAATCATAAACACTCAGTTCACTTGCTGACGACTCTGTGGCCATCAGTGTGTATGGAGTAACCGTCAGCACTGCCATCAACTAGCAACACAGCAAACTACACCGGGCAATGC